TACGCGCGCTACGGTGCTCGTGGCTCCCAGCTCGTGGTTGTTCCCTTCAACCAGGGTAGCAAGCAGGATGTTGAGGCTCTGGTTGACTACATCTACGACACTAAGAAGGGTCTCGGCTGGGACTTGGACTTTGTCGTTCCCTTCGCCGCTATCCCCGAGAACGGGCGTGAGATCGACTCTATCGATTCCAAGTCCGAGCTGGCTCACCGTATCATGTTGACTAATCTGCTCCGCCTTCTCGGTTCCATCAAGACCCAGAAGCAGGCAAATGGCTTCGAGACTCGTCCCGCCCAGGTCATCCTGCCCCTGTCGCCGAACCACGGTACCTTCGGTAACGACGGTCTGTACTCCGAGTCCAAGCTCGCTCTAGAGACTCTCTTCAACCGTTGGTACTCCGAGAGCTGGAGCCACTACCTCACTATTTGCGGTGCCGTCATTGGCTGGACCCGTGGTACTGGTCTCATGAGCGGTAACAACATGGTTGCTGAGGGTGTTGAGAAGCTTGGTGTCCGCACCTTCTCTCAGCAGGAGATGGCCTTCAACCTTCTCGGTCTGATGTCTCCCGCCATCGTCAACCTCTGCCAGCTCGACCCTGTCTTTGCCGACCTCAACGGTGGTCTGCAGTTCATTCCTGACCTCAAGGGATTGATGACCAAGCTTCGTACTGACATCATGGAGACCAGCGATGTTCGCCAGGCTGTCATCAAGGAGACCGCCATCGAGAACAAGGTCGTCAACGGCGAGGACAGTGGACTTCTGTACAAGAAAGTTGTTGCAGAGCCCCGTGCCAACATCAAGTTCGAGTTCCCTAGCCTGCCTGACTGGGAAGAGGAGGTCAAGCCCCTTAATGACTCTCTCAAGGGTATGGTCAACCTGGACAAGGTTGTCGTTGTCACTGGTTTCTCTGAAGTCGGTCCCTGGGGTAACTCCCGTACCCGTTGGGAGATGGAGTCTAAGGGCAAGTTCTCCCTGGAGGGCTGCGTTGAGATGGCTTGGATTATGGGTCTGATCAAGCACCACAATGGTCCCCTCAAGGGCAAGGCCTACTCCGGCTGGGTTGACGCCAAGACTGGTGACCCGGTCGATGACAAGGATGTCAAGCCCAAGTACGAGAAGCATATTCTCGAGCACACTGGTATCCGTCTCATCGAGCCCGAGCTGTTCAAGGGTTACGACCCCAAGCAGAAGCAGCTCCTCCAGGAGATCGTCATCCAGGAGGACCTCGAGCCTTTCGAGTCCTCCAAGGAGACCGCCGAGGAGTTCAAACGTGAGCACGGAGACAATGTCGAGATCTTCGAGATCCCCGAGTCTGGCGAGTACACCGTCCGCCTCCGCAAGGGCGCCACCATGCTCATCCCCAAGGCTCTCCAGTTCGACCGTCTCGTCGCTGGTCAGGTGCCTACTGGCTGGGATGCCAGTCGCTACGGTATCCCCGACGACATTATCGAGCAGGTTGACCCCGTCACTCTGTTCGTCCTGGTCTGCACTGCTGAGGCTATGCTCTCCGCCGGTATCACCGACCCCTACGAGTTCTACAAGTACGTCCACCTTTCCGAGGTCGGTAACTGCATTGGTTCCGGTATTGGTGGTACCCACGCTCTCCGCGGTATGTACAAGGATCGCTACCTGGACAAGCCCTTGCAGAAGGATATTCTGCAGGAGTCTTTCATCAACACCATGAGTGCTTGGGTGAATATGTTGCTTCTCTCCTCCACTGGTCCCATCAAGACCCCCGTCGGTGCTTGCGCCACGGCTGTCGAGTCCGTTGATATCGGTTACGAGACCATTGTCGAGGGCAAGGCTCGTGTTTGCTTCGTCGGTGGTTTCGATGACTTCCAGGAGGAGGGCTCTTACGAGTTCGCCAACATGAAGGCCACCAGCAACGCCGAGGATGAATTCGCTCACGGCCGCACACCCCAAGAGATGTCGCGTCCCACTACCACCACCCGTGCTGGATTCATGGAGTCCCAAGGTTGCGGTATGCAGCTCATCATGACTGCCCAGCTCGCTCTTGATATGGGTGTTCCCATTCACGGTATCATTGCCCTGACCACCACTGCCACTGACAAGATCGGACGTTCCGTGCCCGCTCCTGGTCAGGGTGTCCTCACCACTGCCCGTGAGAACCCCGGCAAGTTCCCCTCGCCTCTGCTCGACCTCAAGTACCGCCGTCGCCAGCTGGATCTCCGCAAGAAGCAGATCAACGAGTGGCAGGAGTCCGAGCTCCTCTACCTCCAGGAGGAGGTCGAGGCCATGAAGGCCCAGAGCGACGAGACGTTCAACGAGTCCGAGTACTTGCAGGAGCGTGCTCAGCACATTGAGCGCGAGGCCATCCGCCAGGAGAAGGATGCTCAGTTCAGCCTGGGCAACAACTTCTGGAAGCAGGATTCGCGCATTGCTCCTCTCCGTGGTGCCCTTGCTACCTGGGGTCTGACCATCGATGACATTGACGTCGCCTCCTTCCACGGCACCTCCACTGTTGCCAACGACAAGAACGAGTCCGATGTCATCTGCCAGCAGCTGAAGCACCTTGGCCGTTCCAAGGGTAACGCCGTCATGGGTATCTTCCAGAAGTACCTCACCGGTCACCCCAAGGGTGCTGCTGGAGCCTGGATGTTCAACGGCTGTCTCCAAGTCCTGGAGAGCGGTCTCGTCCCCGGCAACCGCAACGCCGACAACGTCGACAAGGTCATGGAGAAGTTCGACTACATCGTCTACCCTAGCCGCAGCATTCAAACCGACGGTGTCAAGGCTTTCTCCGTCACCTCCTTCGGTTTCGGTCAGAAGGGTGCTCAGGTCATTGGTATCCACCCCAAGTACCTGTACGCCACTCTCGAGAAGGCCCAGTACCAGGCCTACAAGACCAAGGTCGAAGCCCGCCAGAAGAAGGCCTACCGCTACTTCCACAACGGCCTGATCAACAACAGCATCTTCGTCGCCAAGAACAAGGCCCCCTACGAAGACGACCTCCAGAGCAAGATCTTCCTGAACCCAGACTACCGCGTCTCAGTTGACAAGAAGACTTCCGAGCTCAAGTACTCCGCCACCGCCCCGGAGACCAAGGAGTCCCAGGCCACCCGCCAAACCGTCGAGTCTCTCGCCAAGGCCAACGCCTCGGAGAACTCCAAAATTGGCGTCGATGTCGAGCACATCGACTCCGTCAACATCGACAACGAGACCTTCGTCGAGCGCAACTTCACTGCTAGCGAACAGGCGTACTGCCGCAAGGCCGCCTCCCCGCAGTCCTCCTTCGCCGGTCGCTGGAGCGCTAAGGAAGCAGTCTTCAAATCCCTCGGCGTGAGCAGCAAGGGAGCTGGCGCTGCCTTGAAGGAAATCGAGATCGGAGTCGACGCCAACGGCGCCCCGACCGTTAACGTAAGTTCAGACACACATTCTCTCTCTATATCAATCCAGACAAAAAGCTAACATAACCCCTACAGCTCACTGGTGCCGCCGCCGCCGCTGCTAAGCAAGCCGGCGTCAAGCAGGTCAGCGTTAGCATCAGCCACAGCGATTCTCAGGCTGTTGCCGTTGCGGTCTCGCAGTTCTAGATCTAGATTAAGGCTAGGACAAGAGAATGCGCCTGTCCTTTGGTGTTGTTTCGCATATAGATCCTTGAGATCGGGCATTCTGTTATGTTCTTGTTTTTTCGTGCCCTGCTGATTCTCTTGGGTTGAGACGTAATGATTGTGATTTATGTTTTTAGATTTCCGGACCGGTTTTCGTCTCCTGGTTCGTTGTGTTTATAATGGGAGTAATGAATGGCATTTCTTAGTTCTTTTATTTTAGATTGGCTTAAGATTGGCCTTCTAGGGTAGTGTTTGAGTTAGGTTACTATAGCTGCTACTACAGTGATAATCTAAATACAATACAAACATGTGGAGTACTCCCCATTCTTTTCAAGATATATATATAAAGAATAGAGTACTATTATTATCCAAAGAAGCTAGGAGTATATCATGGAGTTGCTGATGTGTTCGCGAGCTGTCCCCAAATAGAGTATCTGTTATGATGGTTTGGGGAGTGACTGAGTATTGATGGTGTACGTGTCTGTAGCTCCTGCAGCCCCCTTGAGGTCAGCAAGACGTTAGCAACGGTGTGTTTGCTTATCCTAGCTAATATTTAGGCGCCCACAACGTTTACGCAAAGCTCATCGAGAGAGTTCCGATACGGCGTATTCCACGGGTAAGACCCCTCCAGGGCTGAAATCAAGCATCAAGCCATATCAAAACAAGAGATCTGGCATGAGTCTGTGGCTCCGGTTACTCGGGCCGCGCGGGAGTGGGACGAGGCCCACGGGGACTGATCGGCGGATACGTGGGCAATGCCCCAGGAATTCTGGTCGTTGTATGGCGGAGGGAGCTCTACAGGGAAGGGATATGTATCCCACCATTGCAGGCAATCCCCGCCACGGGCATAGCTGAGATTATTCGAGGTGAGGGAGACCAGCAGCAGCCGAACGTGAACACTAGACGGGGCGAGGCGGGGAGGCAAACGGCCGACGGCCTCCGAACTGGCGATGTAGCCAACTAGTGTCGATCATAATGCCTGGGAGAGCTAATGATTTTTTATATTTGAGCTTGAAAGAAACAAAGGCGGCGGGGAGAGACGACATGGCGATCTATCTGTAACACGGGCGGTCGAGTGACCTAGATCTATAACATTATATCTGTACAAAGCAGACAATAAATGCTTAGCACCCTTTTTTTCACTTTGGTAATTAAAAAGTCGAGCAAGGAAGAGAGGACTAATTTGACGGAGGATATCGGTTCTCGTGCCTAGAAGACATACATCTCTATGCTGATTCACAGCACTATGCACAATGGGTAACTTGTCATCGAATTCTATGAGAAGGTTAGTACGGTCGACCCTAAATAACAGACTCGACCTATTGTCTAGAATTCCAATCATTAAATGACATCGCGTAATACAAAGATCAAAACGTAAATATCATAGAAAATATACAACAACTCCATCTATCTCTCAAATCCAAAGAATCATCACGACCTCCCAGCCCGATTCAACGGACCCCAATGTTCACGAGGGTTAAGCTGATACCGCACAAGCCTTTTACTAGTATGCTGTTCCGACACTTGGCGACCAAGCTCAGCATCGAACGTCACTTGGAGGGTACTAGGATGAGGAGGCTTAGACGGAGACGTAGAGGTAGAGGGAGCAGTCTGCGCAGGCGCAGAAGCATCACCAGAAGAAACACCCTCATTTCCCTTCCCAGCACTCGCATTGCCACCCCTCGCACCAGACCGATAAAGCGCAGCTTCAACCTTCGTAACGAGATCCCCAACATCCCTCCCACCTTGAATAGCAGCAAGCAACTCAGTCTTCAAAGTCGAAAGGCTCTGGTCACCCACTCCCTCACCCTGCCCATCTCCACCGGAAGACACCCGCAAATTCTCACGACTCTTAGCCATAATCCCAGCACCGGCGGTACCAGGCTTCAAAGAAGGAGATTTATTAGGAGCGTGCTGACGAACCCATTCACGCATAATCTCCCAGACAACAGCCCAGGGGGCGTCAGTGCGGATAGAGTTTGGTTTCGTGTGGCTGCGGGTTGAGCGGTAGCCCAGGTGGGCGATTGCGCCGCGGAATTCATCGATGGGCGGTGTTGTTGTGTGCAGGACTTTTGAGAGAGCGCTTAGGGAGAAGTAAAATGGGTGCAGGGGCTTGGGGGTTAGGGGTTGGCGGGGGATTAGGGCTGGGTAGGAGGTTTTGTCTGAGTCGGAGGTTTTGATGTTGATTTCGGTTTCGGTTTCGGGTTTGGGTGTCGAGGTTTCGGCTGATGACTTGGATGGGGTTAGGTCCAGGTCTTCTTCCAGGGCTGTTGTTAACATGCCCTCGATGCGAGCGGTTGTTTGGTAGGTTTGTTTGTCGGCGCCGGGGAGCATGTCCAGGATCTTTTGGATGAAGATTGGGTTATGAAGGGGTCCTGCCCACATTGGACCTGCGAGGTGTGTTTTTGTGCCGCAGTGTTCGCAGTTTGGACTGGAGGTTGGGCCCTTGGTTATGCCGTGGTGGTAGAAGGGGTTTCCCTTCTTGTCTGAGCGTTCCCTTGTCGAGGCGATGGGTTGGGTAGACCAGGCGCCGCAGCCGGCATCACAGTTCCATACAAGCATGGTGTTACCTGCATTGAACTTGACTTGGGCAGGGGAGCGGTAAACGCGCACGAAGACGCGGGCGTAGAAATCAATGGACAGAGACAGGAGCGGCTCAATGGAGATTCCGTATTTAGAGGCTGACATAGCAAGACTGTTCAGGATCAGACGGAGACCGCCCTCGTGGGAGTGTTGGCCTTTGACGGGGATACCGCCGTACAGAGCGAACGCCTTCTCCGAGTAGCCGGTTGAGGCCCAGACACCGGCGTCCGTGCAGGTGACGCAGAGGAGACCACCATCTTTGGCTGCCTGAACGGCGCCATCCAGGAATGGGCCTGCTGTGCCGTAGGGATCGAGATCGATCACGTCGAACTTGTCGGCGTGGTCGAGTCCGTACATGAAGGCGCGGGCATCGCCCAGGTTAGGCTGGATGCGGCCCTCGAGCTTGTTGTACTCGATGTTGGTCTTCATGGACTTGATTGCCGACTCGGACATGTCATTTCCCACGACCTTGGTGACGAAGGGAAGTTCCGAGGCGTAGCGAAGAGCACGCAGGCCTGTTGCGGACAGGGCGTCAAGAACTGTAAAAGATGGTGGCGGGTGCTGTTTCTCGGGGTTTGCATTGGCTTGCTGGTCGACTGGGGCAGATACTGGCTGCTCGTTCTCTTCCGCATTGCCCTCTTGCTCTCCCTCCTTGGGTGCGGGCCTCGGAACCTGTTCGTTCTCATTCTCGTCGTCTTCGCGCTTGCGTTTCTTTTCGCCATTGCCTGCGCGCTTCTTCATCTTCTGATCCGTCTTTTTCTTCCTTAGGTCCATGGCATGTTCGCCATACGCGCGAATGGCTAGCACACTCAGGTCGCGGTTGAATTGCTGGATTGGGTTGTAGAAAACGGATTGGGCTTGGTCGTCCTCTTTGAGGTGCCTCTTTGGTCCCTTGGAGGCGGCTTCCTGAGACGGAGGGTTGAGGATATGCGCGAGTCCTTCCTTGATGACATTGTACTCTGTGCCCTTGTATTCCACCTGCCTAGGTGTTCCGGCAGCTGTGTTCTCCATGGTAGAAAAGAGTCGAGGTAGAGGTACTCGGGGGGTAGATGGCGAGCGAGGGAATTGGGTGAGAACAAGGGTCGAACTCGGTTTCTTAAATGCGCATTGTACTGTCAAGCGAAAAATCAAAGAGGTGGGCATGGAGGCCTGTAGAAAAAGATTGTTGCATGAAGAGTTGAGGAAAAGATGCGGCGCACGGACCAAGTGGCATTAAAGATTAGTTGACATCTACACGCTATACTTATATACTTCCATACTCATATACATATGCACGGTCTCTCATAGCCAGTCTCCAATAACAGGGACCTGGCTATACATCTCATTCCACCCCTTGGCCTCCCATCCAACACCCTCACCACCACGTCCAATAACACCAAGAGCACCAGCAAGCCAGAGAGACGCGCCAACAGCAGCAATGCCATTAACTATCCACCACATCTTGCGCTGTCTCTTCTTCTGACTGGGATTCTCCGTATAGCCCAGATACCCCTCCAACGAGCCCTTCTGGCTCCCTCGTTCCTTGCGCACCGTAGTCACCCTCCAACCCATCCAAGTCGCCCAACCACCAACAAAATGCCAGACACTAGCAGCAACAAAGAAGACATAGAAGACATTCCAGAAGACCGGGCTGCGAGCAAAGCCATGCGCAATATACCCGAGTCCCACGCCGGAACTCCCACCCTCAACCATGACAGGCGTTGCGCGATTTACCAGGACATGCAGTCCGATCAGCGGCGCCACAACGTATCCTGAGCGAGCTTGTAGAGACATCCGCGGCCACCAGGAGAGCTTATCGCGCTGTGCGCGGGTCTCGGCGCCGTACAGTTTTGCACGGCGCGCGGCGCGGATGTTGCGGAGAGCGATGCCGGATGCGACGTGGCCTAGGATTGGGAGGGTCAGGACGAGGTGCTCGATTCCTGGCGCTTGGTAGACTGGTCGCGTGAGCAGGAGGTAGGGCTCGCTTGCGGGCACGGAGCGGGTTACGAGTGGGATGAGGGAGGTGTTGGCGAGGTGGAGAATGAAGAAGGCTGTTGGTGGGTAGGTTGAGTATTTTTGAAAGCCGGTCACTAGTCAAGTACGTTAGGATACGTTTGTTGAGGCGGTTGAGGTGGTTTGGGAGGTTTGACGTACGCCATGTATCCCAGCGGTGGCCGCGAAGGCCCAGTTTGGGGATTAGGAAGCCTGTTTCATGTTGCGGGAGAGGCTCATTTGAGGGAAAATAGTCGCCGCTTTCAACATCTGGTGTGTCGGTGACAGGCGAGGGGTCCAGTTCTTGCATCGAGATGATGGACTTGGTGTCGATGTCTTCCGGTTTGGAGGGTTGAGACGGCATTATAATTATAAACGTGAAAGAGAAAATACAAGACTCAACAGACAAAAGAAAAGAGAAAAGAAAAGAAACTCGTTTGGCAATTCAGCAATTCAACTCATAAGGTGAAAGAGGAAAGTTGGGGTTGACGATCTTGCTGATTCCCGCAAACACGACGACGTTGATAGGCCCTTCGCACTTCTACGTCAACTTCACTCCAACATTCGCTTGATGGCTCCGGTAGGCTTCACCTCGACTCTCGACCCTCCTATACAAATACAAGCTAACATGCAAATAGCGCGGCTTTACCAACCCCGCTCCAAAGGTAAACTACATAGTCCCAACAGCTAAGCGCAAAGCTAATCCCAACAGACCGAGTCGGCACGGTCAGCGCTGAGCGCCTTCACCTGCAATCTCTGCAACAAATCTTATTCCCGACATCCGGAATATGAAGCGCATATCGGTTCTTACGATCACCAGCATCGGAAGCGACTCCAAGATTTGAAACAGCTCTCGCGCGATCCAAATGCCGCTGAGAAGGCTCGGCGGGCCGAGCGCAAGGCGGATGCTGAGGCTGGTCTGAGAGTTATTGAGACTCCTGGTGAGGGTGCTGCGCCAACATCAGCGGCCACAAGCGGTGGTGGCTTTAAGAAGGGGGGCTTCAAGAGCTCTTTTGCTGCTGTGAAAGGCTCCGCGGTTCCTGCAGCTCCTGTGAAGAGGAATGTGCTAGGGGATGATGAGGATGACACCCCGAAACCTATAGATAGTCATCCACCTGCTGCGTCCAAGGCCGTCGAGAATGTAGAACGCCGTGATGATGTTGAAAGTGACTCCGATGAGGGATATTCACATGGAGGGGGTGCCTACTATGACCCGCGTCAACCGACGGATTGTTTTGCTGGATGTGCAGCTCAGAATATAAAACTTGCTACGTGATGCTGGATATCACCATTCATTGTTGGATAGATGGCTCTGCTTGGACGGCGCTTGGCTTGGAGTTTACATATTCTTTGTGACATTCTTGGAATACGAAAATTGCTATCTATCATTTTGAGGAGTTGGGAGGAATATCAAAAGCACTTTACGCTGGGAGGACAGACCCTCAGGATGTAATCGTACAAAGCTTTCCAAGAATCTGTCTAGAAAACAAACCGCAGGAACATAATGAAACAACATGACTTAAAAATAGAACAGATGAAAGGGTACTAGGCACATGGATAAATTATGACGAGCTCCTCACTCGTCTCCGCAGTCCACTGACTTACAACCGCAAGAGCTTGGCGGCCTGGCTGACAATGGTGTCCTCCTGGGGGAACGCCATGGCCTCGAGGCCAGCGGCGTAGGGAGTGGGAACCTCAGCACCGGTGACACGGACGGCAGGGGCGGTCAGGTAGTCGAAACCGTACTCCATGGACAGAGCGAGGATCTCGGAAGCAACACCGTACATGGGGTAGCCGGACTCAACGACCATGATGCGGCCGGTCTTCTTGAGAGAGGCGATGATGGTCTCAACATCGAGGGGCTTGATAGAGCGCAGGTTGATAACCTCAGCGTCAACACCGTACTTCTGCTTGAGCTCAGCGGCGGCAGTCATGGACTGGCCGACACAGCGGGAGACGGAAACAATGGTCAGGTCCTTTCCGGGGCGCTCAATCTTGGCCTTGCCGATGGGCAGTACGAAGTCGTTCTTCTGGGCAGCCTCGCTCATGGGGAAAGCCTGGCCATACATAAGCCTGAGGTGTGTCAGTTTTCCGTCCAATTTTCCAATTTCCAATTTCCGGGGTTTTATGCGAAACTCACTCGTTCTCCAGGACAACAACGGGGTTGGGGTCACGGATAGCAGCCTTGAGCAGACCCTTGGCATCCTCGGAGCTCCAGGGGGAGACAACCTTCAGACCGGGAATGCTACCGTACCAAGCAGAGTAGTCCTGGGAGTGCTGGGCCGCAACACCAGCGGCGAAACCGTTGGGACCGCGGAAAGTGACGTTGCAAGGCTGGATACCACCGGACATGTAGTGAGTCTTAGCGGCAGAGTTGATGATCTGATCGATGGCCTGCATGGCAAAGTTGAAGGTCATGAACTCGCACTAGATTATCCAGAATCAGCATGGCCCAACAATTGTCTCCGGTCTTCGGTCTTCGCGGAAAACTCACAATGGGGTGCAGACCAGCGAGAGCAGCACCAACGGCGAGACCAGCAAATCCGGCCTCTGTGATGGGAGTATCAATGACACGCTTGGGGCCGAAGCGGTCCAGAAGACCCCTCGTCACCTTGTAGCTGTAAAGGGATCAGCATGAATGAACGATTCCACCGGCATATAATTCCGCCATTTCACGACTGGAACCATTCCGCGACTGAGGGATTGCTCACGCTCCGTTATATTGTGCGACCTCCTCACCCAAAACAAAAGTCTTCTGGTTGAGCTCCAACTCCTCCGCCAGGGCCTCGTTCAAGGCATCGCGAACGGTGACCTCCTTGGTGCCATTCTCGGTAGCGTATCCACGGCGCAGAATTGAGGGAGCACAGGCGGAGCGGACAGCCGGGCGCAGAGTGGTGGAAGCAAGGCGCGAAGAGAACAGACGAGCTGTTGGGCGGAAAAGTCTGGGAGCTGCCATGGCGGGAATTATGATGGATCGAGTCGATGAAGAAGAAGAGAGGCAAACGAAGGAAGCAATTGAAGATCGCGAGACGAAGACCAGCGACTGGGAATGGAGCAAAGAAAGATGCCCTGCGGAAGTGATCGAACAATCTTTGAGATGCAAATCCGAAGATGTTGGGCTGCACGTGACCCCCGCAACTCACCGGTACTGTAACGGTACATACACAGCTCGGCCTAAGTTATCTACTTGATTTCATCTACAAGGGTCCTCCACTCACTTCTCAAGCTTCGTTTTGTACACTTTTGAGCTGTTTAACTGATGCTGCTGCATGTATTGATCTCTAGTTGTTGAGGATGTTGCCCTTATTCTGGCTACTTCCGTCGGCGCTCGCCGCTCAACCTTCCGCACCCGAACCCATCTCCGCTCCGCTGCGCGCCCTTGATTTCGGGCAACTGAATTTCCTCCATACGACTGATACTCATGGCTGGCTGGCCGGTCATTTGCAGGAGTATGCAGCTGTCTAGCCTCCCAGGGAAGCCTTGCTAAGTCATACTGATCTATATTACAGGTCGTCATACTCCGCAGACTGGGGAGACTATGTATCGTTTGCAACGCGTATGCGGGAGAAGGCAGAGGCCCGGGGACAAGACCTGTTGGTAATAGATACCGGTGACCGGGTTGAAGGGAACGGCTTGTATGACTCGTCCGAGCCCAAGGGCATCTACCTCTCGGACATCCTCCGGTATCAACATATCGACTTGTTGACGTCGGGAAACCACGAACTATACAAGCAGAACACATCCGAGGCTGAACTCCTCACCACCGTTCCTAATTTCCGGGGCAACTACATTGCTTCCAATATTGATATCTTCCACCCCACAACCCATGAGCTTGTACCTCTCGCTCCCCGGTACAAGAAGTTTACTACCAACAAGCAGGGCATCCGTATTGTAGCCTTTGGCTTCCTCTTTGATTTTACCGGAAACTACAACAACACTGTGGTCCAGCCGGTAGAAGAAACCATAAAAGAAGATTGGTTCCAGGAGGCCATCCGGGATAAAGAGGTTGATCTGTTTCTCGTGATCGGCCATGTGCCCGCCCATTCGCCGGAGTACCGTGCGATCTTCAAAGCGATTCGGGGCATCCGCTGGGATACCCCAATCCAATTCTTCGGTGGACACCAACATGTCCGCGATTACGCCAAGTACGATGACAAGGCGTTCGCATTGGCAAGCGGCCGGTTCATGGAGACGATAGGCTTTATGTCCATTGACGGTCTTGCCACTGGAGGTAAATCCGGCATTTTGAATTCCGGCCCTGTGTTCAAGCGGAGATACATTGATAGCAACCTTTACTCTTACCATTACCATACCGGTCTCGATCAGGATACATTCCCCACAGAGAAAGGTCAGAATGTTTCCCGACTGATTGCCAAGGCACGAAGCGAGCTTGAACTGGACAAGGTCCATGGCTGTGCCCCCGCGAGCTTTGGATGTCACGAGTCAAGTATCCTGATGATGCCAGCATTTTCACATGGCTTGGGACTCAGGTCATCCCCGACTCGTTGAGAGACGATTCTCGAGCTGGTGTGCCTGCCCTGGCTATTGTGAATACGGGAGCTATGAGATTCGACATCTTCAAAGGTCCTTTCACCCAAGACTCGGCATTTATCGTCTCGCCATTTACCAGTGGTTTCCGCTACTTGAAGAACGTCCCATATGACAAAGCCCAGCTTATGCTAGAGGTTTTGAACAAACAGCCCCAAGTCTTGCACGCCTCGCAACACGGAGGCGAGTCATCACGTACCACACTCGCACCTCCTGAGCAACTTGCGTACCTAGAAGACGTGGTAGTCGACCAGACATGGCCATTATTCTCTGGTTCAGGGCCAGATCAAATCTCCCTATCCGATGATAAACCTGCCAAACCACTTGTGCCCGGCTACACGACAAAGGACGACGCAGGCACGGACGGTGATGATACCATTCATGCGCCGATTTCCTTTTATCGAGTTCCCAATTGTATTCAGGCACTTGTATCTGCCAATTCGTCCGAGATCCCGGAGAAGGTGGATCTGGTCTACATTGACTTCATCGAGCGGTACATGGTGCTAGCGGCTAACTTTGCTGGTCTTGATGTTGACTTTGCGAAGGAGAGTGATGTGTACATGCCCGGAATGACCATGACGAACCTGATTCTGGATTGGGTGAAGACGCATTGGAAATGTGATGAATGAGTAGCATAATGGTAAATGATATTTGGTTTCGGTTTATTTGGTTTATTTAATCATACAGTTCATCCCTAAACGGACATTTGATAAACAACCCTCTCGTGGGCTTTTCGACGCTTTTCAAAAAGGAAACTTGTAGATTCTCAAACTTACAGTTCGCCAAACGATCTCATGTAATGTAATTCATGTCCGCAGACGGCCCCATGTGGATGAGCCCAAATCATATCATACAACGTCTAAAACTTGATCCTAAACTATTCATCGCCACCAGTGAAAGTGAAAACACCCTTTCCACTGCGGTAACCACCCAGGGTACCCTGCACGCTCTCGGCAAGCTCAGGACCCTCAGAGTCCCAGTTCCACTTGACATCCTCCACAGGGATATCCTGGAATTTACCAGCGCGCGTCAACTGAAGCACATCCTTAATAGTGTTCTCCTTCAGCTCAGGGTTCTTATCACCCCACTTGCTAACCCAGAAGCCATCAAACGAAAGGTTCTTGAAGATCAACAGACCAGACGGCAAAGCAACGGGCTGCTTCGACATAGCACCATAGGTAACCATATGCGAATCAGGTGCCAGCGTCTTAGCCAAAGCAGTAGCATTCTTCCCACCAACACAGTTCAACGCGAGACGAATCGGCTCCCGGCCCTGACGGGTAATATCATGAACCATATCGCGGAACCCACCATTAAGCATTTCCTCCTCGGTAACGACAGCATTAGCACCCAGCTCCTTCAGCTCCTGCTTAAGGGCCTCAGTCTCCTCGGGCGTCTTCCGCTGCCGAACAACATTAAGCGTCTTAATGCCCCACTCCCGTCCAAGCTGGATAGCCGCACGGCCAACACCGCTGTTCGCGCCGTTCTGAATAAGCCACTCCTCGCCCATGCGCAGCATGTCCCATGCACAGAAATCGCGGATCATACGGTATGCCGTGACGGGATTGACGCTGACCGTGCCGACCTGCAGCGGAGTGAGCCCGTCCTTGTTCTCGATTTTGATGAGCTGGGACTCGTCCATCTGCGCGTGTGTGCGCCAGGTCCCCTGGCCTGTGCGCTTCATAATGACCCAGTCGCCCTTGGTGAGGTTCTTGACCCCAGCGCCGGTCGAGAGAACCTCGAAAGCGCCTTCGTTTCCGCCTACTGCGGCGGGCTCGGTGTTGCCGAGTGTGGTTACGAAGGGTGGTTTGCTGGGGTAGACGCCTTGGATTTGGTTGACGTCCGCTGGGTTCATTGGTGCTGTCATGAGGCGGAGGTTTACTTGGGTTGCGTGCGGCGCGGAAATCGAGTGCTTGTGTAGGCTGGGTGAGCGATTGGTCAGTGTCGTTGATTCTTGGGCATTCCTGGGAGCTCTAGCTGCATCTTACCGGAGGACATCTTTGGGCTCACCGTATTTCGAGTACATCAGAGCCTTGGCTTGGGTGTAGCCGTAGACTGAGATGTATCTCCGACTGTGCCCCATCGGAGCTTTGCCGGAGAGCACCGGGTTTGGTGCAACTCGGACTGGGGCCGCGGGTCGTGTACCCTGGGCTGCAGCTCGTAATGCGCTTCGTGAAAACATATTTGGTGTGTGGGTGGTGGAGGTGAACGTTGGAGGAGGAGGAAATTATTGAGCAATGCGGATGACGTCGAGTCGGCGATTTCGCTCGGCCCGAAGGAACTGCCAACTACAGCTTTCTCTTAACCGACATGGAAGCTGTTTGGTTCTTTGTTCTTGTTGTTCTGTTTATTTATTCCGTCATGCTATCGATCTAGGTTTATTGGTTCTAACAAGTGAGAGTCTCGGGCAGTGACAGAGTACATGGTGACGAAGTATATCGCCATGAAGTACGGAGTAGTCCGTACATCTCAATGACATGGTCCTTTAGGGGTTTTTGTACTTAACTGGCTCGCAAGAAAAGAGCAATCAGATATGAGAGACTGTTATCCTCTGACAATGACCCTTTACTCCTAGAAAAGCTCAAGAAATCATAACAAACTGAGGGGGACACATCGGGTGCAACTTCCTGTCTACTTAGGGCAAGTCTCCTCAGACAACTCTCACAGAGAGCCTCACATTCCCTGGCTAACTCAATCACTGTTGCCCCACAAACATGATAATACGAGATGTCCCCAAGGCAGGGGCTTAGGCAATCTTGGAAGTCTTGGCCCTTTCCGGGGTAATACGAAGATCATCCATGCAGGCTACTGAACATGGCCATGGAACAGTACAGCCGCACAAACAGCCCGCCGATCATCGTTCGCAGAGGCTAACCTTAACAGCGGGAATAGGCCCAAGCCACGCTTGGGAGTGGACGGGTTCAAGCTAATAATAGTCCACCTAGCATTCCTTCCAGGTCTATACGAACGATGTCTATATTGAGAGCAGAGCCGCACTCAGCATTCTCCTGTATGATGGCCCTGTCCGACGATGATCTCTTTCTACTTCAGGTATGATATCGCAGCTTGGTTCCAAACTGAGACATTCCAAAATGAGAATACGAGTCTGTAACCGATGCCCCTTCTTGGCTCTTCTTTCGAGGCCTATGGATGACTATTCTCGAGCTTGATCGACAACACTATCCCAGCTACTACGTGTCGACGGCAGCGAGCTGCCAATTGCTGGCAGTATCGACAAAAGCATCACTAATGGACATCGTATTCACTCTTGGCAACATGAATTATGGCCTCATCGACAATGTTGATCTCTCGTGGTGATTTCTATTCTGGCTTCATTCGGAAGAATACGAGCATTGGCATCAGTGAGGTTACATCTTCATATCGTCAAGAGAATACTCGATGGCATTCAGAGATCTATTTAAACGGCCATCTTCCTCGTTTCTATGGTCTTGATCATCCTCTCAAACAATCCAAGTCTCAATTTCAATCTCAATCAATCTACAGCCCTTCAAACCTCAATTCAATCTTCAACTTCCAACCAAAATGAAGTTCACCGCTACCACTATCGCCGCCCTCGTCGCCGTCCTCCCCATGGCCAACGCCTGGATCTTCTCCACCTGCAGTGGCCAGTGGGACAGCCACAGCAACAAGGCCTGCACTAAGTCCTCCTGCAAGACCGGCGACACCATTGACTGGGAGAACACCTGGGGCTCCGAATGTACCCTCCGTATCTACAGTGACGGCTCCTGCGGCAACCAGATTGGAATCGCTGATGACGACTGGAATGATCACACTCTGAGCAAGAGCATGGGCAGCTTCCGTGTTTCAGGCTGTTAAATCAAGTTCTCGACTTTTGATATGTCTTCATTTAGAAGACTGGTGGAATGGAGGATACGTGCTTGGACTTGGTCTTTGTCTTTTGGTGCCTTTGATGTCAAATAGTGCAGTCCAGTGTTGCGGCCCATCATTGTCTCTCGTTTTGTATCTATTTGGCAGTCATTAGGTCTTCTGGCTATGGAATAAAGATTTTGTGGTAAACCTTCGAATTAAGTGTGTTGTGTCAGAAGTATACGAGGACACGGTGAGCGGGGGGCCAGAACCGGCTCCCATTGCACCGCCGTCCTGCCGCCCTCGACCGCCTGCCCGTCTCCGCCATCCCCTTGCCCCTTCGGGTTTGGTGCCCTCGTCCGCGTCCCCGTTCGGGTTTAGTGCCACCTCTGGCCGCTTTTACCGTCCCCCAACCGGCACCCCCATCTATAAAACACCGCTCTCCTCCTCGCAGTTTTGTCGACGCACTTTCTCTTCTTTTTCCTGTCCGACTCCCTTTCTCTCGGCCCCGACCAACTTCTACCCATTGGCTTGCCACCTGATGCATCGCCCCTTTCATTTCCGCCGGAGATGCTGCTCGATCCACCGTTGAGCCCGTTCTGGCCAGCGTTGCCTGCAACGCGGGCTAATCCCTGGCGAGTTGATGCATTGAGATCATGAAGTCTTCGGACATATCGTGCAACACGATGCTAGCATCTCCGCCGCCCGTTGGTTATACTATGAAGCTCTCGAGAAACCCTCCTGTTCCTCCTGTTGCGAGCCCATTTCGCTGAGCGCCTCGCTCATTTTGGTGGCATTGTTTTTGCGCGGCCGGAGAAGAGTGTCTCGGAAATACTCAATACACAGGCTCCTGATTTGCTGTGGACCGTCCGAGGTTGCATTGTACAGCCCCCAGTCGTCCACGCAGGCCCGCTTTTTCGAGACTGCCTAAGGGTAAGACTTTCGTCATTGTCTATTTCTCCTGACCATTGTTACCCAGTCGACGAGACTTCGGACGACCATGCCGTGATACGGACCAATGGCGAAATTGCCGCATTCTTGCCTGGTCTCAATCGATGCCAAGTACTGCATCGCGAGGCCGACGGTCCATTCTACAGATGGCTGCCGACCACGCGCATACACGAGCGATTGGAGATTAGGCTGACGACCACTGTGGAGCCGGGTCACAATAGGCCGCCACCGAGGTGTGCGGAAGCTTTTGCCGATGGCCTTCGGCCCCTTGATGTGCAACCGGTGTGGCTCCGCGCCTTGATGTGACGGTGAAACGGCTCGAGTTGAATGCCGCGGTGAATTCTCTGCGCCGTCTCACGGGAAATCCTTGTATAAAGGAGATGACAATCTCCTTCGAATGGCTCAATCAATCCATCAGTTCCCCCTTCCCTCCCCCTAAACCCTGCTACACACTCGACCTCCAACCCCTCCTTTTCCCTTCCCAAAGCAACACCTTCAGGATTCTTCTAGCCATCTACCTTTTTCAACATGTCAAACACCAACTTTCGCCTGGAATCATTTCGTCCATGGAATCCTTTCCAAGACAAAGCCCAGCCTCTGCGTGATCCCCCCGGTGCTTGTCGCTATCCAAGTCCGGTCTCGATCACTGCGACCCCGCCACCCTCCAATTCAAGCGATAAAGACCCAAAGAGCTACAAACTTCATTCCAACAAACCTGAGCGACATCCGCTTCCTGCCCGCCCGCCGACGGAAGTCTGCTTGGATGGTTTGCATTCGGAGACTCAAACCACTCGACGAGAATGGGAGGGCTCAGGTCGGACACCTTCCACTGTCGATTTACCCCAGTCTTTCGACTCTGAGAACATTCTGCAGCCACAAAATATAGTGTGCGCCGATGACGTCGCTCCTGCGATTTTTGCTGATGGTGTTCGTCGGGACGCTGAGCATCAACCCCTGGGTTTGGAATCGGGCGGCTCGGAGCCTACCGGCTTTGCTGGTCAACAACCTCAAATTTTCGATTCTGAAGACGATGCTCAGAATGGAGAGCTACCAGGTATTGAAATAATTGATCCTGCAATCCTGAACGGCAATGACTCTCATGATGCTGAGCAGCCGCAAACAGCGGAGGGTATCGCGACAATCCGGGAAGACTGTCCCGCGAGGTCCACTCGCTCTCAGGAGAAAGCATCATCCCTCCAACGCAGACGACAGAACTCAAAGGCGACGGTGGGCGCTGATCGCCAATTGAACACCACAAAACGTTCTAGTCCTGGGAAAAGGCACATAAACAAGAGCCCCGGCCGGTTCAATAAAAGTTCTGGTCATCGTCAAAGCATTTCCTTCCCTACAGTCCGTGCTCAATTCTCGGCCCTTTCAGTCGAAGACCGACTACAGTTCCTTTCCTGGCTGTTTGAGGGTGCTCTATCTCATTGCGCCTCTTCGCCTTCCAGCCCCGATGCCGCTTCTCCGTCAAGACTGGTCCCCGGCCAATTTGATGTGAGCTACGACTGTGATCACACAAGCTTAAACACTGAACGGGCTGAAGTGCAAGGTACATTTTCGAGAAAAGGACAGCCGTGGTCCGGGGAGGAAGATCACCTTTTGACGAAGCTAAAAGAAAAGCAGAAACTCTCTTGGTCAGAGGTGATCAAGCAATTTTCACGTCAATTCCCCGGGCGGAGCAAGGGGTCAATACAAGTCTACTGGAGTACAACTCACAAGAAAAAACAGTCATCCATTCCCTTATCCTTCGATTGATCTCATGATGTTCTAGTCTTGCCTCTTTATTTATGAAATTGGAAATATCGTAAATCTTCAAGTCATTTTGATAACAATTGCAGACGTACCGGTATGTCTCAGCGTGTGTGCGCGTAGCTTTCAAGATCGCAGATCTGCCACAGCGCTTTGCTTTCGAGTAGCTCAATTGTTATTGCTGGGCATAATTCACATATTGGATAAAATCTTTTAGACTATTGTTTAGACTATTGAAATTGCCACATATATGGACTTGATTTAGCGCATGAGGTGGATCTTCGAAGACTGAAAAGGCCCATCGTCTGTCTAGCCACGCATAGGAAGTGAAGATTGTGATGATCAGAATTGGATTGGTCATCGTCTTTGATTACTTTTGAAATTGTTAAATAGAACCCAACCCAGTGTTGACATCCTGTTGGGGCAATACAGTCACAAGGGATGATATCGTTATTCAATATCCAAGTCAATCAATCTCATTGCACCCAATTGCTCGAATGAGGAGGATTCTCAGGATGCTGGATACCGATTCAACCAGTAACGAATATAGTCGGCTTATGAAGATGGTTGATCGAGGATCTGTTAGATTAGTAAAATAATCCAATGAGCTATGTACTGCGTGTTACGACATAATTTTTCCGGTATGATCGCAATTACCATACAGAACACGGTAATGTGGTTGTTGCTGAATAAGCGAATACCGTAATACAGTGCGGGGAGCCTACGGAATTTCCCCCACTTCAGTTGACGTAAGCTCAGGGTAAGCTCTGGGTGGGCTCAGGGTCGGCTCAGGGTTGGTTCAGGGTGGGCTCAGGGTAGGCTCAGGGTAGGCTCAGGGTAGGCTCAGGGTAGGCTCAGGGTAGGCTCAGGGTAGGCTCAGGGTAGGCTCAGGGTAGGCTCAGGGTAGGCTCAGGGTAGGCTCAGGGTAGGCTCAGGGTAGGCTCAGGGTAGGCTCAGGGTAGGCTCAGGGTAGGCTCAGGGTAGGCTCAGGGTTGGCTCAGGGTGGGCTCAGGGTGGGCTCAGGGTGGGCTCAGGGTTGGCTCAGGGTGGGCTTAGGGTGGGCTCAGGGCAGGCCAGTCCGGTTGTACATCAATGACCCAACGCCTCGGCTGATCGATCAATGACAACCACACTATAAACTGCAAGGAAGCTTGACATTGTCATCGTTTCTCCGTCCCTTAAGAGACCTGCAGCATCAAGAAAGAGAAGATATACGAGATTCCTACCTCAGTTGCTTTCATGGGACATATTTTAGAGATTCTTCTATTACATAGATAATAATGGACAAGTCGATATCTATCGCCGAATTTTTAAAGCGATATAGAGAAAAATTGCGAGCCTCTTCCATGAGAAAATAGAAAAGCCATCTACGTTGTCTTCAAATCCCGATTGTACTGTCGGCGGACATTTAATAACGAATTTCTAATTTAAGTACAGAGTAACACAAGGAATCGATATCTGGAGAACTTTGAGACTAAGTACCAAGCAAGAGCATCAATGGTATACCGTGTCTCCAAAGATTACATCCCCCTAATCAGTTATAAGACCATCAAATCAAACCAGTGAAATTACAGTATAGATGAATTTCGGTGTGATACCGGCGCTTAGGTTCCTTCCGCTGATAGGCGCGTAGAGCGCGTATTTAATACCTTTGGGAACAAGGCACTTATCAATAGGTAGTCACATTGCCCTCTAACTGAAAGAAGAAAGAAAACAGCCGCAGCAAAGGGGTTATCTTGCCTTGTCCAGCTAAGATTCAGAAATCACTCTGCCGAAAAGACGAGCAGTCCATTTCAATGATTTCCCAATACTTTTAGCAAAATTGAAGTTGAATGTGTGTAAGTTGCCCTACTGAAAATGCGCATAGGCTTCTTGAGGTTATCATGTGCTACTGACGTATGGTGAAAGGGGGTCTCTTTCTTCAGCGAATGGCTTCCAGGAATTTGGCCTAGGTGGTATACCCAAAATGATGAGGGAAACAGCGGGGAACTAGTAAGTGCAAGAAGTGTGCAGAAATGGCTTGAAGTTTGCTTAATGATTTTCAATCCTACCAAAAGGCTTTTGGACCTCTAACTTTACTTTCCAGCAGAAAGCCGAGCCCAGGATAGGCAATGCGGCTCCCAGGGCACTGTTCATAATACCTAATATCCAAGGAACTCCTCCTGTCAGAGCTCAATCATCTAGATAATGCCGGTTGCTCCTAGGACGAAGGAACTCCTTCCTAGGAACTTATCCGGAATCAGCGGACTGTAATCATCAAACCTGGCTACATATCTTGAGTTACTGTATACAGTCTCTGAAACCAACAGACACTATAAGTTCCGGTTTTCCTCTTCTATGGACTCTTTGACTTCTACCCGTATAGCTTCAGTTTACCTTGAACGTGTTGTGCTACAACAATCGCCCCTACATACTGGATTCTTCTGCGTCGCAGTACCACTCGCCCTGAGCTGAAACCGCCTTTCAGAGATACACCTTCCGCTTCTGCGCCTGCTGAGAAGAGCGTTTGACATATCCTATTGCAGTGCATCGGGAGTGACAGTCTATCACCAATTGTTATGTCCACACGTACTATAGCTATCACACGTCTTGCTTAAACAGTTGGAATGCAACGGTGGTACTGTAGCTTGCAATATTGACCAGTCTAACCACAATGCCTCTTCATTCCTGCCAATCATGCCGCAGTTTGAAAATTCGATGCAATCGTGAAGTCCCCCATTGTCAAGCTTGTGTCAGGCGTGGTAAATTGTGTGTTTATGCAACGAAAGGGCCAGACCGGAGACCTGCTCTCTCAGAGCTACGGCCAAATCAGCAAAAGCAAGTGCAAGAGGGTGAATTTGGTGATTACCAAACTACATGGAAAGTACAAGAACCGCCAACCGAACAGGCTTTGCAACACGGAACGAGTACAGCTGAGGCTATGCACCACGTCGTAGGGTGTGCAGATGATGAACATATTCAGCACTTGAAGAAGAAGGGTTTCAAGCAAGATCAAAATCCGCCTTACGAGATACTACCAAAGATTGTTGCGGCTACGGTGGCGGAGTCGCTTTCCCAAACAAATGGCCCTACAGCCGCTGAAGATATTATGGAACGGGGTCGAAGCTTGTCAACCTCTCAAACGACAAAGCCGTTTGTGCAGATGACCCCTCCGGTAATAATCACAATTTATGAGGCTTTGAGACCCACGACTGACTGTCAACCAGACCTCTTTGCCTCCACGGCCGAATTTTGATTTTACCATAGCTGGGAAAAGCATTTACGGTCCACCCACAGTCCACCAACTCTTGTTGGTTCTAAGTTATC